CCTCCTCGGACTCCCAGGTCGCCTCCTCGACTGGTTGGCCCCTCCACTGGACCCTCACTGCAGAAATCCTCTTGGACCTCAATTGGCGGCCCAGTCTATCAATGATGGCAAATGGCTCCTCCTCATAACCCAAACTCTCATCCATCTGAATAATACTGAAGTCTAACACATGGGATAGGTTGGGATGATACTTCCGAAGCATCGATACATGAAAAACCGGATGAACTCCCGATAAGCTGGGGGGGGGGGTAGGGGAAANAATTTAGTTGGGGATATTTTCTTGGGGATTTACCTGCGCAATTGGTTATTTGGGAAATTACACTACTAGAAATTCGGAAAAACCCGTCCAAAAAACACCGACCAAAGCTGGTTGGTAATGGCCAATAACAGTCCAAAACGCGACCATTAACGTGTGGTCGGTATTTTGAAGATCGGAAGGGCATACCGACCAAAGTTGGTCGGTCAATTAAATTCAAAAAAAAGAATTGTTGAAAAAAGTTATTTTATAACGCGACTAATATATCTTGAAAATTAATGTTAAGAAAAAATTAAATATTCGAATATACAATAACAACAACAACAACAACAACCCAGTATAATCCCCCACTGGTCTGGGGAGGGTAGTGTGTACGCAGACCTTACCTCTACCCTGGGTAGAGAGGCTGTTTCCAATAGACCCCCGACATCCTTCCCTCTAAGAACTCCCCACCTTGCTCTTGGGGTGACTCGAACTCACAACCTCTTGGTTGGAAGTGGGGGGTGCTTACCACCAGAGCAACCCACCTTGTCTAAATTATATATTATAAAAATAATAAATAAAATAATATTAATTTATTTTATTTATGAATAAAATACATAGATAAAAATATATTATATAGTATATAATATAGAAGGTATTACATAAATATGAAGGTTTATATAATATCAAGGGCATAATAGACTTTTCAAGTAAAAATGTGACTTTTGTGATAACTAGAGCAAAGTAAAATGATTTTTGTGTAACAAAAGAAAGAAAACTGACTTTTGTGTAATGAACACAAAGTTAAATGATTTTTACGTAACAAAAAAAAAGAAAAGTGACTTTTGGGTAACAAACACAAAAATTGAGTGACCATAGGTAAAATTAATTCTTGGTCTTTTCACCGATCCATTACTCATTTTGTTCAATCTTTTGTTGTGGAAAATAATGTATGGTTATAAAAAAATAAAATTATAATACTTCATGCAATTTCATTTTAAAAGAATCTAGAGACATCTTATATATATATATATATATATATATATATGCATTTTCATGATTATTGCTTCCTAAGGTTTTGCTCTTAATTCCATGTATGACAAAAAATTTAATCCAAGAAAATAGTTTTCACATGATCTGTTTTCTGGATTACATGTTTTGTGACGAGGACTTTGTCTGCGGGTCGTGTTCATTAGCATTCTTATAACTTAATTAATCACCTGTTTGGTGACGGTGGCTGGAATTTTCTTAAGTTTGAGGTTTATATTTGATTTGAATAGACAAAGTTGCCAATCACTGAAACAGAAGATACCAATCAACCTTAAAATAATCAAACAACTGTTGTCGAGAAGATTATGATAATGTTAAGAGGTCAGACTATTCTTAAAATGAGCCTTTGTCAGTAATGAATGATTCACTATATATAATCCACTGATCAAATTATTGTCTAATTATTGTTTTACAACTACATTGTTTGTGATAAGTCACCCATTCTTAAAATACAGTAATAAAAATTAAAGAACAAGGACTAGTCGCATATAGGCGAACCAATAGTACTTGAGGACGATATATCTGCACAGGGAATAGGAAAAAATTGGATGATCATTGAATTTGAACTCGTAATACAAGACTTATGAGTTGAAGATAACAAATTTAAGTTTTAAGACATTGATTTCAATTTATCTCAAAGAACTTGGTTCAATCTCCTGGAGAAATAATTTCTGAAGTCAGCTTATAGCGCAACAAAAAATAAAATAAAAATTGACACCCTTTAATAAAGTTAGTTGGAAGCATAAGAACATATAATTGTATGGGTCGAAATCTGACCAAACGAGAATCTGCGTGAAGAGGAACGGCAAAAAGTCACTTGGGCCGAAGTCGTATTCATACAACACTATAGCGACAAGCAAGAATGCTTGTACGGCGAATTGGATGTTATGGCATTTCAGAGAGTCAACCTGTAATACAGTTAAATGACTTAGATACTCTGGCTAATACCGCTGTGTAAATGAGAATACCTAGTATATTTACGAGGTGAGAGTATGAAGAAGGGGGGATTCACAAATCACACTCTTCTTCACGGACAGGGGATGGGAATTGGAGAATCCGTCTCGCAAATGAGAGAAAGTTCAGAACCTTGTTATTCATTTTTCTGTAGCCATCGTTATGGAATAGATAAAGACAAACCACGTGGTCATTAATGGTGGATCCTTTCTTTCTTCTTTATTTTACATTGTGGAGTAACGATGTCGAGAATGAATGTAAGCTCATCATATACATTAGATTTTTTCCATTATCTTAATGAGTTCATGAGCTTAACCTTACCCAACTTTTCTTACTTAGCATTCATTGATCTAGAGTTAATTATCTTTGGCTAGGATTTATCATCTATCTTCTTATTTAATTAGTTTAACAAAAGGTCTCACACTTTTTGGTCAAACAATAATTACAAAAAGAAACACATAATTTGAAATATATGCTTAAAAAAAGAATATGAATGCAAAATCCTTTAAACTCTTCAACATTTATTAATTGGACTAACTAAAACCGTCATTGACTTTGTGTGGTGAAGGTTATAAAATAATTACAAATTTTACAAATTTTGCATTTAAAACTACAGTTTTGGGCCTTGTCCAATCACACCAATCAATTTCAAAATATAACACGGTCTTATTCGAGCCTCAAATCACACAAAACAACATCAAAACCACAAATCGTACCTCAATTCAAGCCTAAGAAACTAATCCAACTTTCCAAATTCAAAACCTACGCCGAATAAGCCTAAATAACTCAGAATGACCTCAAATTTTATATGCAAGTCCCAAATGACACAACGGACCTATTCCAATTTCCGGAACCAAAATCAGAACCCGATATCAACAAAGTCAACTCTCGATCAAACCTATCAACTTTCCAACTTTCGCCGAAAAACACCAAACCAACCTCCGGACCTCCAAATCCCAATCCGAACATACGCCTAAGTCCAAAATCACAATTCTATCTAACATCCTTTTCCATTCTTAATTTCAGTTGAACCATTAATGTCCGCGCATCTTGCATTTAGCCACCACTACTTCTACTTGGCCACTTGCAATTTGCAAATGAAATGGTGGTTTTCATGGCTTTGTTGAATATAAGGGATGGTGTAGTGGAGGAAAAGTGGGTTGGAATATGGCGTAATTGTGAGAATATTCGATACTACTACACATTAATTGAACATCTGTACTAGTTATCAGTATTCATTAATGGGTAAAAAGACAAATTAAAGTTTACTTGTTTAATTTCATGTTAACTAAAGGTTAAATATTTTATATCTCGTGTATGGGTCGAAATCTAACCGAATAAGAATCTGCGTGCAAAGGAACGGTAAAGTCATTTGGGACGAAGTCGTATTCGTACAACGCTATAGCGACGAGCACCTCGGCTAAAGAGAAAGAAGCAAGGAAGCTCAGATCCTCAATATACATCGTCAGTCTCATCATATCAAATGTATGGGGGTCAACCTTGTTAAAGATCGGAGACCCTTTTTATCTATGTACTCTTCATTATTGTTCTATGTTATGAAAATCACCATCCTCTTCTTATGTTACGGGATTCGGTTATTGCCGTGGTTAAATTTTATATTCAGCTATGCTTACATTTTCTTATCATCTGTCTCAGATCTAGGATGAATTATCTTTGATTAGGATTTACCTCAAATCTTTCAATTTAATTAGTTTATAAAAAGATTTAACTCTTTTTAGTCAAACACCTTGTACATTAACACTAAAATTAACTATAACTGAGATCTAACATTAGAAATTCAGAATGTATGTGGTGAGCAGGCGCATGTAACACATTAAGGGTGAGATGACGATCTTTATTGTTTTTACACCGGTTGATTTTACATAGCCATGCTGAGGAAGAAATATAAGAAAATATACGGCCTCACCCGTTTATCCATAGATATTTTTTTCTTTTTTTTTCGAAAACGTGTCTGTCCATGAAATTTTACAAGTTTTTAAAAAAAAAAATCAAAAATGTGATTTTTAAAAACCAAAATGTAGTTTTGACTACTTTTTTAAAATTTTCAGAATTTTTTGTTTCCTCGCTCACAATACTACAATATTTTTTCACGTGAAATGTATGTCCAAACATAATTTCAAATTCAAAATATCATTTTATAACTTAACTCCAAATACTTTTTTTTTCAAAAATTGCAATTTTTATGTCCATAGGCCTACTTAGACGTCAAGTGAAATGTTGACTCACTTTACCCCCAACGTGGGACTTTCCGGCGCGAATCCGGATTAGTCGGGCTCCAATGTGGGTACCGAATACCGGTTGAGAAATCAAAAAAAAAAAATGTTGACTCAGTTAGCAATGACTAAAAACTGAGAGCAGGTAAAAGCAACATATATTATGTGTGACCAGACCAGTCTTGTTATGGGGCCATCAGGCAACAAGATATTATACGAAATTCTAGGGAGGGATCGGAGTATGTTTCAAATAGAGTAATTAATACGTACATTTATGGGCATTATTAATAGAGAAAATGCATAAAGTCCCCATTCAACTTGTCATGAAAAATCATTTACACACCTAAACTTTACGGGCGACCTATGTCCCTCGTATTCTTCTTTGGGATGAATTTAATAAATACCACCCTAAATGGTGACATGGCAAAGGCAGTAGTTTCACTCTCCCAAAGTCGCGTGTAAGAGGGAAAGGGTTTTTTATTTTATTTTTTAATTTTTTTAAACCCCTCCGTTCTGTCACTTTAGTGGTCTGGTTTCTCTCTCTTCCTCTGTTTCTGTATTCTCTCTACAAAATTGCTGCATTCTTTTTGCTCCAAATTTGTATGTGCTTGCGGAATCGCACCTTGGTAAGCTCCTTTTGCCTATCTTTATTCCTACTTACGCTAGGACTGTACAACACTCCATGATTGTGGTACATTTGCATGAGGGTTGTTAGTGTTCTTTCACTGTAATGGATCTTTGCTTTGGCCATAGATGACCGAACCCTCCAAAACAACGTTAAAAACAGAGTGGATTATTTTTTTATTTTCGCATGTAAAATAAAAAAGGATTTCATCCGTTTAGATCTTACTATGTTGCAATGTTTCTTCTTATTCTCTTTCTATTTTAACAGATGTTGGATTTCTAATTGATTTTCAACTTATTTTTAATTGAAATTGGATTTTTCTGTATTTGTTGTCTTTTTCTTGGTAAGCCTCCGTTTATGGTTGAACAGGAAATGGAATATCGCAGTTTCGAAAACTGAATCTTTAAGTAAGAGTCTGAAACTTGACACCAACAACATCAAAGAAAAATATAAAAGGTAAGTTTCTTAATTTTCAAAATTACAGTGTTGACAAGTGGGTGATGGGTAGAGAAGTTAAGCAATGGAGAATAGAGTGACAATGTGACAGAGAATGAAGGAGCTAGATGCTGCAATCTCAGCCACTACTTGTATATATGGAAGAACGAGGAGAGGGGAGGAAGAGAGAAGAAGATGAACTCCATTTGGCTTTTGGTGAAAGGACAAAATAGGGGTGAAAGGACAAAACAGTCCCTCAAAAAAAAATAATTAAATAAGTGGAAAAAAAATAAAGCAGATATTGACACGTGACGTGCGTGTACTATATATCCCACCACAAGACTGATTAAGTGTTACCAATGGGGTATTAAATTCGCCCCAAAGAAGAATAGGGGGGACATAGGTCGCCCGTAAAGTTTAGATATGTAAATGATTTTTCATGACAAATTGAATGGGCTCTTTATGTATTTTCTCTTATTAATATGCACGTGACACGTACTCTATATGTGTTGGTAAATGATAAAAGAAGATTTTGAATTGGTGATTAGTTGACGATTTGTGCGTGGTAACCTTTCAAATCATGGACGTTATTTTACACAACGATAAAATTTAGGGGTGTATATGGACTGAGTTGGTTCGATTTTTATCAAAATCAAACCAAAGAATTATATCGGAATTTGGATTGGCTCGGTTTTGTCGGATTTTTTGGGGTTTCTTTATTACATTAATATTATTTTAATCTTACTTTGTTAAAGTTATAGATAAATTTTTGATAAGCGAATATATGTTTAGTAAAAAATTTTAAAAAAAAAACTGACATACATATATGATCTATTCAAATATTATGGGAGTTTTTTTTTTAGTAACACATGGTAGTTTTTTTCTTAGTCATTTAACAATAATTTTTCATTAATATACGCTTTCAAGGTTAACCGAATTTAAGAATTAAACATAAAAATTTATATGATACCTAATGATAATATGTTCTATTTAGTTTAAATTATGGATTACCAATTCAAGGTATTTCAAATTTGAAAAAGATGTAAGAAATCTTGACATATGAATATGGAAGAACAAAGAGATGATTAACGCGTTTCAAGACAATCAATTATTTAAAATAAATAAAAATAAAGGCACTTCATAGTTCTACTAACTCACGCCCAACTCTAGTCCTAAAAGGATAAGCGGTCGCTGTAAATATAATCCGGTCTAAAAGTCCGGAGTCGAATCCCACAGAGAACTAAGGCTTAGCTATATCTGTTTAATATCACTAAGAAAACAAGATTGAACAATTTCCTAAATTATAAAGATTGAGATTTATATTTCTAACTAATTAACTAGCAAATACTACAAAGCGGTAAAACTATCAACTAATGAGACAAAGGGTTGGAGACTAAACTGAGGAGGTCTAGAGTTATGATTTCCCCAATTATCGGAATCCTTCTAGCTATGTTCCCTACAATTTCGCCAATGTATTCTCTACTGATCGTGAGCACTTTAGGTGTCGTAATTTCTCTCGGGCAACTACAACAATTTACTAGACATATTCTCTCGAACTACGCTAGTTGGCTTTATCTAACCGCTCACTATGACCACGTCAAGGCTTTGTTATTTCTAAACCTACCTTTAAACCCACTGTATTGATTTCTCACATACGTTAGGAGTGACGTTGTTCAACAACTACCTAAATATGTACTCTCTCTCGAGCAGTACACACTAAATAGGCACAGTCAATCGATGGCCATTCAATCAACAACAATAAATACGTAGTTGAACAAGTAGAGAAATCCAACGGCTCAATTATATAAAAACATAACAAGAATTTATCCTACAAAAGGTTCCATCAAAACCCTAGATAACAAATTAGCTATTCATAATAGTATGTAAAACTACAATACTAAAAATTATAACCAATAATGAAAAATAGGAAGAGGAAGGAAAAACTCGTTGAAGAATTCTCCGCCTTGCTCCCAGTGTGTTTTTGACTCCTTAGGTCGAATCCCCGATCTCCTTAGCCTCCTTATGTCTAAATTATGTCAAAAGTGTGTCCAACTTCTTAAAATACTGTTTTTCCATGTATATATACCAAGTAGGGTCGGGCCCAAACTATTATACCTTCTCCTACGTGAAAAAGGATAATTTTTTCACGTCTGGACGCCGCGGTCGCGGTCAACCGTGGTACAACCGCGGTATATGGCAAGTATACTGCCTCAGCCCGCCTCAGGTCCACGGTCGCGGTTTCGACCGCGTTTTTCACCCTGTTCCTTTTGGAATTTGGAAAAACGTAAAACATGAAAGTTGTAGCCCTTTGAGTTAGCTTTCCAACCATATATTGTGGAGCCCAAATGGAGTTGTGAGCGAAAAATTATGTACATTTTACAAGACAGTGCGCAATATGCCTACTCGGTTCTTCGTTTTGTTGCTCTATCATCCGTTGATCCCCGAATACGATCCCGGCTTAATTCCTTGGGCTTTTACTCAGATTTTAAAGCTCTAAATCACTTAAATTCATTCTATAACATCTATATAGCTCGGAATCACTCCTACAAGGCATAAAACACACAATTAGTGCAAAACACTAGCGAGTAAAGCTCAAACTCAATTAAAGTGCAGTAAATTTGAGTGTAATAAGTGACTAAAATACATAATTATAGCCTATTATCAAGGATCCCAAATAATCTAGACATTTTATTTAAAGAAATTTCTATATAAAGTCTTAAAAGTATATATAAATGTCACGCATCCTTTTTCCCGAGGGGATGGGGAGTTTTTCCAGATCGAAATGGATTATTTATTTATTCAAAGTCGCCACTTGGAATAATTTATGGTGTCCCAAGTCAGCGATTTATTTTTAATCCCAAATCGAGAAAATTTGAGTCCATTTGAAAGTCTGCGATAACCAGAAGACCGGGTAAGGAATTCTGTTAACCTGGGAGAAGGTGTTACGCATTTTCGGGTTCCGTAATTTTAGCACGGTCTCTCAACTGATAATAATTAGCCTAATTATCCCAATTATTACATGTTTCAAACCTTTTATGTGTTACCGCTTCTATACCGCTTTTAGTAGAATTTTAGTTGCTTTTAGGATTTATGAAATTTATTTAAATAAGGCACTTATTATTTTTGTACATATTGCTGATCGCGTCACGTGAGACGCACCTACGATTTACAATATGTTTATTATTATTATTATTTGATTTGAAGTTGTAAGGTCGAGCCACGTGAAACGCGCACTCGAATTTAGGGTTTATGTATCATGACTATGCCACAGGAACCGTACCCATAGTCATGATGATTTATTAATTGAATGAGCCTAAAACAACTACGACGTTTTAAACTATTGATTTTACTAAATTTGAGATTAATTGTAACAAGTCCAGAATTATGGAACTTTAACTTGTTTATGGGAAAGGCGTGACTTTGACCATTGTTATCAAATCACGGTTATACCTTAACGTTTCATCCTTTTGAGATTGTTAACAAAAGTTGCACACTAGACTAACAAAATGACATACATTACCAAGAACGTCTTGGGCTATCATAGCAACAGGCCCAATCAACGTAGATACTAACCAAACAACCTATTAATTAATGAAACAACTCCAAATAACTTAATTAAATTCAAATTCATAATAATTCTCAAACAATTTGTTTCCGACATGAAGAATGAAAATACAGAATCTTATGACAAAACAACGAATCCTAACAAATGACCAAATAAGCACAAGAGAGACAAACTATATTGAGAATTATTCGATTCTCATAAAAATACAGATCTGCCGAAGCTAAACGAGAATCCAATCGAATCTCAGACTGAAAAATTGATTAAACTTAACATGATTATATAACCAACTTAGTATTCCTAGCTGAAAACAAGGATCGAATTAATCCAAATCGGCATCATCCATTACACATGAGAATTACAAAATCAGGAATCGAGCAAAGCTTCAAAGCTAAGTAGGAATTCAATTGTTTAACCATTTACTAAAAAACACATAATGCAGAGAAGTTTCAAACTAACCTGGTTGAGCAAAGAAAAACTAGAATAAACCAAATAAGGGCAGGAACAGATTTGAATGGAGCTCAGCAACTGTAGAAACAACAAAATCAGCGGAAAATCGAACGGCGATTTGAATCGAAATTCTCTTTAAAACCCGAAAGTGTGGAATAAACACAGCAATAGAAGAATAATTTCAGAAATTGCCTTTAAATCTAATCCCCCTCGGTTTTCTGAGCGTGTGAAGAGGGACTGATTCTATGAGAGTGAGTGAAAAGAAGGAAAGGGGTGGCGGCTAACTGAGAGGTGAAGAAGGAGAGGGAAGGCGGCGCTAGGGTTTGAGTGTAGAAAAGGGGAGGTTGTTTGGAGATAATGGGGAAATGGAGGACGGCTAAGTTTTTTTTGGAAAGGAAGGGGGGGGTTTGGTGCGATGAGGGAATGGAGAAGAAGAGATCGGCGGCGGCTTGATTTTAGGGAGGGGTTTTTCGTTCTTCTACTGCTGAAGAAGAAAGGAATTAGGAGTGCTAGCGTTTTTTTTAAAAAGGGGAGGGGATCCGTCATTCAGAGTGGAAGGGGGGGGGGGAATTTATTTTAGTGAGGGTTTTTAGGTAGGTGGGCTTGGGCTGGCAGACGGGTTTGGGGCGTGGGTGTGTGAGAATTGGGCTTGAAAATTGCAGCCCCTTTTTTCTCTACTATTTCCTTTCTTTTCCAAATTTAGCCACCTTAATTGAATTTCTAGTTACTCCTATTTTGCATTACTAAGCCACTAAAATTGTGAATTTATTTAAACTAATTAATTTAAATATGCAGAGAAATTGACTAATGTAGTATTATTTTTTTGTGATTTTGGTGTTTTAAAAATGCAACTAAAAATGTAATTAGATCTAAAATGCAAAGAGTAAAAATATAACATATTTTTCGTTATTTTCATGATTTGAAATGCTACTAAGTATGCAAAAAATGCAAATAATGCCAAACCAAAATAAAAATAAAAATAAAAATAAAAGAATATTTTTAGGAGTGATTTGCATAAGGGAAAAAATTAGGTGCTCACAGCTGCCCCTCTTTACTTGAAAACACGAAGCATTTTCGGGCAAAGATAAAGTGAGCTATTACGAGCAATTTTTGCCCGTTTGACACTCCATTCAAATGCGTTTTGAAAAAGTTTGACTGAACTTTGCTTCGGAGGTTGTCTACATATCCTTGGCTATAAAGGAATCAGGTCAGTGTAGTTCTGGGAATTTTGATAGCTGGGACTACCGGAAAAGCTATGATTTCACTGTTGTTGCTGCTATTACTGCTTGCTGAACTCCTTATTACACCAAAGTAAAAATAAAAAAGATTAACTAAGCCTATGAGGTACTGAGTTAAAAGATTCCTATCTATGAGTCTTTTGAAGCGTGATCTTGAGTCTTGGCTGGTTCTTCACACAGACTTTGATCTGAACCTTGATGCTTGCTAGCTGCAGGT